TTTCGATAAAATTTCCCTGTTCAGTGGTCCACAATGTTCATCCATCTTTGGGATTATTGAGATTGTAGTTGGTTTAATAGGGATGGCAGGTTGTGATGTCAACTACTGTAACTAGACTGCATGGGGAATACACTTCTTATATGGGCTGCTTTGAATGGATACGAGATAGTGGTGGTAATGCTGCTCGGGCGAGACGACGCTAACCCTGACAAACCAGATAAGGACAGGTATACACCGCTCCATTGTGCCGCTTTTGGTTGGCACGATGGGGTGATGAAAATACTACTTAAACAGGACAATATCAAACCCGAAAAACAATGCGTGTACGGCGAAACATCACTCTATTGTGCTACTAAGAATGGACACGAGGAAGCGGTGAAGCTACGAACGGGGAGACGTCAATCACAACAAACCGGGTAGTCTAACCACGGTCCAACAACACTCTGCCGTGCTGCTTTAAGTATCATACCAGGGAGCGGCGGAGATCCCTTCGTCTGTTTTCAAGCATAGGGCTAACTCTGGGACTGCGGGAACCTTAAAAATTTTCTTGCCACCCCTACCATAATTACCAAGCAATACGATTGTTGGTTACTAGAAATTCACAAGAGTGCATTCTCCAGAATCCCTGTTACTAGAGGTACGCTAAGAACAAATGAGAACTACAGAAGTAACCTAAAGCATGCGCCGTTTTAGACGATGTGAGGAGTGACATAATTTCTAAAATTTAAGCAGTCTAGGAGATAATGGTTGCAACCATCTCACCAAAATGGGCATTAGAGGACCACATTTCACACTCACTAAAATCACTAAAAGTGCGTGAAACTCGGGAACAGACAAAGGGATCCCTTCGTCTGTTTTCAAGCACAACCCTAACTTCCCCACTACGTGAACCTTAAAAATTTCTTGCCACCACTATGATCATTAGTAAGCAATGCTGTCGTTGGTTACTAGATATTCGCAGGTGTGCACACTTCAGGATACCCATTACTACAGGTACGCTGAGAACAAATGAGAACTACGGCAGTAGCCCAAAGCACACGCCGTCTTAGCCGACGAGAGGGGTGGTGATAATTCCTGAATTTCAGTAGTCCAGATGATAATGGTTGCAACCATCTCTCCTAAACACGCATTAGAGGAGCGCTTTCCGCACTCACTAAAATCACTAAAAGTGCGTGAAACCCGGGAACAGACGAAGGGATCGCTCGGACCGGACGATGCCAAGCCCATGAAACCACGGAATAGGGGGTGAACACCGCTCTGGCTGCCAGGGGCTGCTTGGCTGACGGCAAACCATGGTTTCAAAACCCTACGAGTACGAGTAGTTTGTCGTTGAGCTAAACAGCCCCAAGTGCTGCCAAGCACAAGCGTTAGCATTGCTAGGGCCCCTGCAACTAACCCTCCCAGAAGTAGATCAGGCTGGGCGAGCCTAGTTCACTTTACCACCACCAAACACTGATAACCTGTTAACGGGTTCAGCCACAGCCTATAAACATGTCACTCGCTATCATTGCCATGCCTATCCCGAGGTTTACGGCTTTGCCTCGCACTAATCCCCGCCCCCACCCCCCTTCCAGAGTAAGTCCCCCAGAGAATCCCACCTTAAATATTTTGCCTTTCGTCGAAGGAAATTGCAGCGATGAGAATATACATATCTAATCAACTATCTGTCCAAAATTCTATATGGATGGCCTTATTCCGTCGAGTCGGGATTCATGAACTTGTGTTTGCAATCTGGGGTCAGGCTTTGGCTACTTCCACCGGTGACTTCAGATTCCCAAAAAATTCACTTTTGTCGCTGTTTCCCGGTTATAAAGCATCTTTGCACGTTTGTTCATCTATTTTTTATTTTTTTCAAAAATTCCATCGCCCCCTCCCCCTCTATAGGATACAAAGTGAGAGTAATCTAGATATTGAGGGGAAAAAAATAGGAAACCCAAGTCTTTCCGAGACTGGTCGAAAGTGACTCAAAAGCCGTCCCCTGACCTGGGAATGATGGTGATTGGTCCCCACTACCTCATGTACTGTACATGAGTTAATAATGTCATGCCCATATGCCACGTCCTCCAGTTTTGGGCTTGGAGGTGAGGTTGGGACTCTGTCGCCACGCTTGAGTCCCACCCATACAAGGGGATATTGCAGTAAGGAGTCTTTTCACCTTGGAATTAACTCTCATTAGTTGAGCACCTTATCAACTTGAAGAATTTAGTATGCAGGAGAACCCTTCGTACATGGTCTTAGATGCAGATCACCTACCAGGGTATGGTATCGGAGAGAAATACCCAGCGTATGTCGATACATTTCCTCCGTCCGCCCAAATTCAACTTGATCTCCTTGATACGCTACAGATATTAATTCTCCGAATGCGGCTCAAGAACCGTTGTTGTAATCTGTTTCATCTGATCACTAGCCTACGGTTTAATTGCCCAGTGCCCCCGCCCGCATCACTACATGCAGAGCGTCTTTTTGGAGTTCATACAGTATCCCACCCCAACTTGCCAGAGCCAATTGAACGGCCCCCACAGCTGTGCAGTATGCAGTGCCCACTTATAAGCGTGTTGGGATACTCGTTTCACCCTCCTCTAGTCTCCTTTTGGCCATTAGACCTTCTTTCCCCCCAGAGCATTCTGTTCGATACCCAAGTCGGGCGCCACGAACTCACAGAATCTCCTGCCAAGCAGGGGGGAAGACCCTTGGCATTTCCTAGGACACCATTTTCCAAGTAATACCGTACCAGTAAACTAGAGCTGTAAGGCACGACACCGGGAGGTGAGATCTGGGACTATAAAATCAATTGCTAAGTGATTCCATCCCTTGCTACTGGAAGTCATGTTGCAGAAATCGCTGACATATTATGCCTCCCAATACCGAGCGGACCCTAGATCGCCAACTGGCAGAGACCGGAGCATGGACAGATGGAAGACTCAAACATGAGCCCCCGGCAACACAGAAGAGGATTCTGTTCAGGAGGATCCAATTGGGTTGCACAATGTTCTCATCCGAATCTCGGGGTTAATCGCTTACCTTTAAACCTAAGCTAGGGATACTTTCCAACCTTTACACCATTTTCAAACCCTCCCTTTCTTATATCATACCTCTATTGAGGTCAGACTTGAAGTGTCTTTTGATAGTGGTTCTGCTAACGGCCTGCGGTGGACCTACAGTTAGTCACCGTACTTTACCCTATCATAAATTTATCATCCGCTACGAAAGCTTCCACGGGCTGTTTGGCGTACAAAAATTTGAGCTGTCTGTCATCTCAAGATGCGTTTTCGGACTAAATATTGAGATGACAGTGGTGTTTGCCATATCATCATTTTGAATACACGATTTAGTAAAATTCTAAAATGGTGTTTAAATTAATAAGTGTTATTTGTATTTAAAGCATATATGGGGTAGTAGTAAGTGTATCTGTAATTCCCAAGCCACATGACATTACTCAATATATCTTCGCACCGGGCTAGATGACGCAACCCCAGATGCGATGGGCGGTAGTCTGGGGTAGATGATCTAGAGAGAGATCCCGAAGACATTTTCAAGACTTGCGTAGAAATAGTAACGCCGAGGAAGCCACGATTCCTCAAACTATCCACTGACAGATGGATATCGAGACTTCTGCTCGTCTAGTTGAATACCGACGTGATCTTGCAAGAAACCACAACCCATTGCAGTCCGCAAAATCTCAGCACAACGACCGACGGTTCGGGGTTGATAGGTGCTTATAGTGCAACACGGTCAGATAGAGGGACAAGTTGGGGAAGGCGAGGTTTGGAATGGCTGCTTTGATGTGGACCTCTCACTCGGAGCGACCTTTGAACCTCGACGCACCGCGTCGCCCACAGCGCTGTGCGATATCGAGCTTAAGAGTGAATCGGGAGTGATATTCCACCTTCCCTACTCACACTATCTTTCTTCCTTCCTTTCTTCCCGGGGCATTCCGTCCGATGTTCAGATCTAGCGTCAAGAACCCATCGATTCATCTCCCCAGCCCACACCCACGGAAACTTTGCCACGCCCGTGGGCATTTGCGTCCGAATTACCTTGTACGTACCCCTTACAACTATCAGATTCCAGCTCTTCAGCCAGCAGACAGACATACCAGGATTAGTAGACAAAAGAATCCAAGATGGAGCTTTGGTAGCATATAGGAATTGTTTGAAGGAGGATTCCACTAGAGAAGAGCCTTCCCCCATGCATGAATGTTCTCACCCCTACCGCCGGGAGCCAATAAAGTACCGTATCATACTCAAAAACTCAACTTCGCTTTTCCATCTCCCTCATACGCCAATGTAAACTCTCATCCTACACCCCCATCGATATCTAAAGGCGGGGGATCATACCGGCACAACTAACGGCTGACAAACCAACGGTAAGTTCCGTCCTATAATCGAACGTTCCTGCGATAAGGTCTTCAACTTAAACCCTAGCCCCCATCGAGTGAGTACTCATGATACCTACACTACCTCCTATAATCATAAGATACCATATTCCATATCACACGAACCCGGTCCAAGTAAATGCCTAGTCTAGTCATGATGGGGCATACGATACCTACTTCCTGCAGCAAGCTCCATCGCAGCATGCCTCAAATGCAATAATACTACTATTGTAGCTGGCAAACCATTATACGGTACGTTGCCGAATCGGGATTATTTTTAAAATACAAAACCGCCACCACCACCATCGAGGAACCGAGTAAACCAATAGACATCGAAAAATAGTACAAAACAAACAAGTAGAGGCAAGTGTACCGTGTGGGTATGGGTGTGAGCGGCGGGGGGAGTAAAGAAAGAATAAGTTATGTAAAGGGGCGAGAGAAGATACCACACAACCGTAGACAAGCCTTGCAGGTGGAAGGTATAGAAATAGGAAACAAAACTACACTTCTTTACACTATATTACATTACAACCCCCTTCCGCCCAGTGCAACACCGGTCCTCTCCAACCCACAACTTGCCCCTCCCACTAGCCCTCCTAACTTATCGGCCAAAGTAACACCCCTATCACCACCCTTGGGGGGGGAAATACTCGAACACCGAAGGCTGATTCCTATCCTTTGCACTGGCCTTGGCGCGGGTTTTCCTGTTGATGACAACGACAGGCGCCTTCCTGGTATCGGACTCGTCCGAGGTAACTAATGTTTCGGCGCCATTGGAGGGTTTAAACGTAGGAGTGGTCGAGCCGCTGGCGGCAGTGGCGGAGGTGGCTTCGTCGCTAGGTTCCCTGTAGGACTTGCGGGCGGACTTGCGGGCAGAGCTACGGGCGGACCTGCGGGTCCCCCTAGGTTTGACTTCTACTTCTGCTCCCGCGGTGCCGGACTGAGGGGGCTCTTGGCTGAGCTTTTCCCCGGTTTCGTCCTCGGCACTGCCGTCCACGGACTTGGAGTCGGAATCCTTGTCAACATAGCCATCGGGCATTCCAGCTAATTACGCGTTAGTTGTGACCCAAAACCCGGCTAAAGGGTAAGTAAATGAATGAACTCACCATCGGTATTCAAAGGTGCCTGTCCGTCAATTCTCTTGAAGGCGTATTTCCACACTTTGTATCCGGACAGACCGGTCTCCTGCCATGCTTTCAGAATCTTGTAGAGTCCATCGTAACGGTAACCCTCTTTTGGTCCCCGGGCGGCTCTATACCCGCGAATAACCCTGATTGGGTTTCCTGTGTCGCAGGAAATCTTCAGCGCTAGGTTGAAGCCGGTGAGGGTCTGATCAGAGGATTGAGGGGCAGTGCGAAGGTTCTTGGGATTCTTCGCGGTGCCCTTGAGATCACGGCCTCCAGAGCCAGTGAACGTGAAACGGAACCCCTCGTCCACATCGTCTTCGTATCCACCAGAGACAGCGACAGAATATGCACCAACTTTAGTACTGCCGTAAATACCGCCGACAGGAGGCTGGTGAGCGTGTCAGCAGCCAGAGAAACAAGGGTGAGAGTGGGGAGCGGCAAACGCACAGGATGAACAGCATCAGCACCGCAAGCTATTCTGGTCGGCCACCAATGCCCCACCTCGATCCCACGAATGGGTCCAAAGACCTTCGGGTCCGGCCGCGCAGCCCGCTTCTTAGGATCGATATGCTGAACATTCCTCCCATTCACCACCCTCCTCCGCAATCCCTCCCCATCACCCGGTAGCACAACGCCATCATAATCAGGAGCATACCTATACCCCCCGCGCTTGCGCTTACCCGATTGGCCGGGCGACTGACTATCGTCAGAGTAGAAATCCGCATCACTCTCACTCTCGTCGGAGTACTCGTCGTCATTGATGCGCTCTTTCTTGGATCTATCATCACCTTCACGGTATCCGCCCTTCGGGACACTCACGACACGCGTAGACTTTCGCACGCCTTCAGCCGGCCTCTCCTTTTTGACCTTGACCCTCTTAATCGGGGGCTTCGGAGTTGCATTTACTTCGATACCGAGGCTTGCGAGGACTGCCTGGTTCTTAGCGATGTTTGCGGCGCTGGAGAGGTAATCAGCGTTAGAAAGATAAGGTAGGGAATAATCATACGCCTAGGGAAACGTTACCGTTGCTTCTCGTACTCTGTCAACTCTTCAGACATTTTCGAAGGGACCGGGAAGTAAGGTGGGAAAAAGAGGGCGGTAACAGTGCGGGTGAAAGAAAGGGATGGACCGTGGAACTGGTGGTTGGCTGGCTGGAACCACAAGGTCAATGCTCAACCCTACGAGTACAGTCAACAAGCACCCCCGTTCCAAAAGCTTCGCTGGGCCAAAAGTTCCTTGGATACCGTGCTAGGCCGGCGTGATAGCCGAGCCAGCCAAGAAAAGAACTTCAATGAACCGAGCGCGACGCGTTGTGCTATTGTGGTTCCTCGTGACACACGTGACTTGGACGTGTTTCTGGTGGTTGCATTAAGCTTTTTCAGTCCCTGCTTTGACTGTTGGCTTGGCTCGGGTTGCTGGTTGGTTCAATTACCGGTCCAAGCATTTGTTTTTGTTTTTTTTCTATAAATGATAGGATCAAGTCATTCCAAGCACCGGTGAAAACAGCATAAAACATCATGAAGCCAAATTGGCAAATCTCATAAAAGGAAACACCCCCATCGCCACAGGAAAGTTTATTCTATTATCCAAAATGTAAGAGGCAAATTCTCTCATCAACTGCTTCCCCTTCTTCCCACTCTTCCATAACTCTGAGCAAGGTAAAATGTTGAAGGCCTTTGGGTCTTTGCCGTACTGTAGAGTGCAAGCACTACCGGTAGTGCAATACGGCACCGGTACTGGAGTACTGAGACAGATGGCTAGGATCCTAAGCCATGGAGTGTGTGTGAGATGGGAACTGAGATCAATTACAACTTGATAATTTTGCGTGATAGGGGGGATCGTGGCGCGGAGTGATGTGATAAGGAAACATTGATATCTCGGAACACCGTATCAACACTCTTTGTAGGCCATGGTTGAAGAGGCCAGTCAAAGGTTGGGCCAGGGCACACAAGCACATCTCAAGCTTCGGGGGGGGGGACGAGATCTAAAGTGGGCTTTTGGACGACTTACCGTAGCACCACACGGCCCTTTTTCCTTTTGTGAGGAGAATACCGGCAACACTATTCCCGATGCAGCAATTCTCACTCGAGTCACACCGCACAGGAACCGCAGTACAGCTTTAAATTTCTCCCGACATCAACCGAAACTACCAAACTGCTCGCTGCACCTTCTAGAGTAGTACCGTATCACATATCGAGCATCTGAACACCTACACTTTACCAGTCGTTATCCTCCATCGTGGTATCCTTCGGGGCGCCGGCATCCTCCTGTCGGCCGTGCTGATCCCAACCCTGGTAGCCTTGGCTGGTTAGACGCTGGTGCTCTGATGTCCAATCGCCCCCTCCAATGGCGGTGGCCTGTTGACCTTCGACGTGATACCCGCTACCTCGTTCGCGATCTGGGTGGCTGGAACCTCGGTTATTTGCGCGCTGGTACTCCGGCATCAAACCGCCTCCCGCTGGAGTGGTACTCGCTTGCTGGCCTCCGAGCTGATATCCGCTACCTCCGAGACCCTGAGAGCCATCGCCCCGGTAACCTTCAGCCTGGCTGTCTGCGCGGTGCTCCAGCTTTTCGCCCCCCCAGGAGCCCCGGTTCACGGGCCCATCGGAGACTGCGGCGGCACCAGCCCGGTAGGAGCCTCCGGGGGGACTTCCGGCTTTAACGCTGCCTTGATGGCTCATTCTGTCGGGGCTACTGGCTTGCTGGCCCAAGGCCCAGGATGCCTGGAATCCCGCCTCAGAGCTTCCAACACCCTGGTAGGTATTACCTTGCAGACCCCCAGCCCGGTATCCACTCACCCCATGACCGTGCAAGTTGCTACCACTCCGATCTCCCCCAGTGTGAATGTCCAATTTTTCGGGGCTTCTAGCTCTTCCTTGGTAACCCGCGGATTGGCCTTCCATCGGATATCCTGCCCCCCAAGGGCTGCCTAGGCCAGCACGGGATCTGATTCCTTCAGCCTGATATCCCACCCTGACGGGACTTCCGTGACCCTGATAGCCTGGCGTCCCCGGGGTCCCGGCGAAAAATTGGTAGCGAGTATCCTGCTGGATATGCCTACCACCTTGGAAGCTCCTACTACGATTCACTGCTTCCTCAGCGCTGGAAACAGCACGTGTGTAGCTTGCGCGCCCAGGCGTCAGCCCGATATCACCACTCCCCACGCCCCCTGCCATCTGTGCTTGTTTAAGGAGCTCCCACTCATGGGTAAACCTCCTGCCCAATATGACCAAGTCTTCGACCATATTCTTCGAGGCCTCGAGTAAAGCTTCTTTCGGATCCATAGAGCCATCCGTAGTAAGACGTAGCTCGAACACGAAGAATAGCGGGTGAGGAACCTTGTACGCTGCAAAGATCACACACGGGAGCGCCAAGAGCGCACTAACGAGAATCCCGCCGAGGGTTTGGCCGTCACGATTGAAGGTGAAAACGGCGGTTGTTGGGTCATCTAAGAGATGGGGTTAGCCGTGGACTTTCCTTTCCTCCTCCTAGGGAAGCCACTTTTGTCATATTTCATAACTACTCTGCTTTTGTCAGCTTGAATCTAACGATAAAATGTCCGCGCGGGAGGGAGCACCTCTTCTCGCCAGCGGGCAACAGAAATTCCTCGGTGGGATCGATGGTTTCCCTCAAGTTTTTTCCTGCGCGGACGATCACATTGGCCGGGACACTGTCGTCTATCGGTGGACTCATGTCCCTGCTGTAGTTGGAAGGGCCCCTGGTGGAAGCCCTTCCTCCTGGGTAACGTAAAGACATCGTTGGTGTTTATGGAGATTTCGATGGTTTTTACTTTTTATTGGTAAAGCCAAAGATGGATGGTAGATGGTGGCGAGGAAGAAGTGACAGAGGAAACCGGGGGGGTTGTCCATTTATCAAGAAGGGGGATAGGTGCGCATTTGTGGTAGGTCTAGGGTAAAGAGCTCTCTTTTTTGATCTTGGGCTTTCTTTAGAGGGCTTTTTTCTATCTCTTTCTCAAGTATGATACCAGATCACAGATCTGAGGGAGCCTACTGCTATCCGTCCTCCAAATGGTTGACAGTTGCAACTCCCGCGATTAAGTATCATTCCCGTTCCATGTCCCAAATTCAGTATCACATGACCGGCATCTCCCTGCTTAAGCGAAGCGCAGTCTACGGCAGCGGTACCGGCGCGAGTAGATCAACAGTCCCCAACCAAAGCCTTGGGACCCCCAATAGTCAATTCCCGTACCCCATCCGTCAAGCCAAATTACCACGCTGCCTCCAATACGGTGCTCGTACTGTACTGTACTGCACGAGTACTCCGCCGGCCCGATAAGTACGACCTTGTGACCTATCGCAGCCCACCACACATTTTTTCATCTTTTGCTTATCGTTGTCGGAGCGCCGAATCTAATCAGATAAGCGGAGAAAGAAGCGCGATGCACGCCGGTGCTCAAGTATGACACCGGTAGACTATCGTTCCCAAGTGTTATACCGCACCAGTGAATTTATCATACTCCTATCATCCCTCCACGGACCCAATCCGATCGCAATTCACGATGAGCGGCTTCGGCAGACCTCCTTCAAAAATAACATTCTCTCCAACGCCGTAGCCTCCCTAACCTCCCCTCCACCCCCTGCGCTCGCTAACAAATCGGCTCTCACAGCCCGGAACGCGGGAGCTTCCCGCTCGACCATGATGGTACCCCCGCCGCCGCTGCCCGAACTTCCTTTACGGCACGATAAAGGGCTAATGATGAGGATAAGGGGAGTGTAAACCCGTGATGCAGGACTACCTTGCCTGTCTAAAGCAGGTCCGAGGGGCGAACACGCATGAGTGCAGGCTTTTGGCGAAGGCTTACTTGAAGTGTCGGATGGATCGGTGGGTAATTTTTTTCTAGTTCTCCGGGAATGGATGCATGGACGGACGGATAGACTGAGTTGTTTTCGCGGGCAGCAACTTGATGGCTCCAGATGAGTTTCGGAACCTTGGATTTCAGGATGGTGCTGCGAGGAGGGAAGCGGGGACGGATGGTAGGGGCGAAAAGGGTACAGGGGGGAGTCATGGGTTAGAGGAGTTAAGACGGGAGAGCGAGGAGTTGAAAAAGAAGAATGCGGAGAAGAGCTAGTGTATCATACTGGCGCGGCTATAACTCTTCTCGTTGCTTGTAAAATATTGTAGAAATTTCGTGGGCAGCGCGTATCGTATGATTGACGATCCAAGATGACCGTAGTCTAACTCTACCCGTTGTTCCCACTCGCCATCCATCCTGCCATCTCGGTTGACCAACGGAACAACCCGTCCCACCTCCCCCCTCCCCACCTCACTAACCAGTCACCCACAATGCAACGAAGCACAAATCCCAACCCCTGCCTAATCGCGATCCTCCTAATCGTCCGCTCTTCCTCCGGCGTGAACTTCGTCTTCCACTATCCGCCCAAGCCGAGATCCACCCCAACACACGCCCCCGCACGGCGACATTCCCAATACGCTGCCTACACCATTTCTGGGACCTCGTCCCCTTCCTCCCCATCCACATCTGGCTCCAGCGACGATGACGCTGACGACCGGCAATCCCGAACAACCGCCCGCGGGAGGACCGCCACGGAGCGAAGCGACAGTGGGAGTAAGACTCGCAGTCGCCGAAGACAGCACGTGAAGGACGAAGACGAAGGTGATGGGAAGGCCAGGGATGAGAAAGGGGAGGCTGTGAGGGTGCTGGGGTTCAAGGAGGAATTTTTGGCTGGGTTATTGGCGCCGAAGGAGCGGATGTGTAAGACCAAGTTCGAGCTGTCGATTGATGATATGGTCTTCCTTGGCTATCCGTTACATGTTCGGCCCGATGGGACATGGAGGAAGCAGAAGAAGAAGAGGGGGCGCGAGAGGAATGGCAGCGGTGGTTACGATGGGGATATGGATATGGAGGGTAATCCAGATGCTGGGAATACAGCTATGGGGAATGGAGGACACGAAGATGATGCCGATGACGAGGATGATGATGAGGATGGAGAGAGCTCTCAAGGGGGTAATTTTGGTAACATGACCATGTTTCATGTTGTCTTTGTTTTGAACCCTCCAGAGTTGGAGTATCATTCGCGGACGCAGGAGATGTTTGATTATGTGGTCAAGAGGTTTGCGAGGGCTCTAAAATATGAGCAGGCTAAGGATGGGTATGTCTGGAGGGAGGCAGAGAAGATCGTTCGTCTGAAGGATAAGGCAAATCATGAAGGTATTTAATCTTGTTAGTCCGATACCAGGAGTTCGCTGATGGGGTGCAGGGATTAGTTTCGCAGATTTGTGGAAAGATATTCTGGATCAGAGTAGTCTTGCATATGCGATCTCTAGAATTTATATCGATATATCCCAGTCAAAAATAGCTCATGTGTTTCTTAATAATAACCTTGGGCTCTCGCTGCAGATGCCGATCCTAACAGAGATCTCTGTTATGCCATCGATAACGGAGCCACAGGTTCCTGGACTGTGCGTTATCGGCTTATCCTAGAGAAGACCAATGGGCTAATATCTGCTCTTCTAGACCCCTAACAACCGCTAATTCGTTCGGCGATGACGATTCTGAGGGGGACAATTTGCTTGCGAAGCACTTTACTCTTCTTTTTCTTGAAGATGTAGATGGCATTCTGAAAGACATTGAGGCTGAAGCAACTGATTCCTCCGCATCCCTGGCCCGTTTCGTCGAGGCATGCAAACCGACCATGTCGTATGTGTCAATTCTCGTCTCGAAATCAAGGTATGATATTAACATAGACAGATTTCTACAAATATCAAACTCGTGCGGAATCCCACTCCACGAAATCCAGGTCATGGCCCGTCACCTAGTGCACTGGAGAAAAGCCCGTGCCATTCCGCCTATACACCAAAGAGACACCTACATCGTATCTCCTAACGCTGACCTGAAAAAGTCCGTTCTCTTTCTTCCTTTCGCCGCAGCAGTTCTGACATACTAGCCTAGGCTCCACACACTAATCCCAATCTATCGTACTCTCTTCCCCACCCTCCAGCCTCTCCCAAAACTCCTCACCCTCCTCTCTGGCAAGCCAAAGCCCTTCTCCGCTTTCATCCCCTCCCGTGCCCATCGCCCCGCCTATCTTGAAATCCTTGCTTTCCTGATCCGCCACGGCCTCGCAACTCAACTCCGCAACTTTGCATGGCTCCGCGTAACCCGGCAGATAAAGCGCGCTGTAGCAGCCGAAGAGCGGCGGGCGAAAAAGGCCAACGCTGACCCCCCGCTCAACTCGCAACCGCAAGAAAAGGAGAGGGAGAGGGAGAGGGAGAAGGAATTGACAAAGATGACGTCTTCCATATCTAGCCTTTTATCCCACAATAACGACAGCGATTCCGAAGGGGAGTATGAAGATAGCATTATACTCGAGCCGCATCAGGCAAGTAGTATTGAGAGCTCATGGCTGGAGATGATGACTAGGGACCAGCCACCTGATATCAAGGCGTTGTTCGATAGGATTATCAAGTATCTCAATGGACAGCATGCTATTGAGAAGGTTGCGGTCCGGGAAGGGATTGCGAGGAAGGATGTTAGGAGGGTTCTTGGGGCTTTTGATGGGTTTGTGATTTATGTTAGCCTCTCTCCCCCCTCCTTCTGTGCGTGCGTGATACTCCGGGAAAGATGCTGATTGGGTGCTTTCAGGCACGGCATTGGTAGCACCCACCGCCGGTCGTTGTGAGCGAGTGGGTAACGCTTTATTGAATTGATTCAAGCTGGAGGCTCAAAAAATGTTTCGGCTAGGGATATTTGCATTTATTTTGCTTTTCTACGCTTTACTCGTGCTATGGAGTGAAAAAAGGGCTTTTTTGCCGTGTGCAGGGTAACATGTTGTGGAGGATCGCCGGTAGTGCTTGTACCTCTGTGCAATGAATTGGCACCTTTTGGGGGGGGGAACCGTTATTACAGGCCCTTAGAGGAGATAATCTGGTGCCAATTATTAGCTCGGAGACACGGGTAGGGTGGGATTTGCGGATGGGGATCCAAGAGCTGAAACACCGGCCAGAGACGGTAACGGAAGTTGTAACACCCGGCCATGCAAATGGAGTCACAGCCCGATTCACTAGCATAGCAGAGGGTAGGCTGCCGCTTCACTGCCGTACTCTCCCTATCTCTAAGCTAAGCTACGAACCAATCTATCGTGAATTATCCTGAGATTCTCTTCACTAAACATAGCTAAATGGCTTTCGAATAACGAGGGGTACTTAATTGTTCTCCTGCCCCCATCACTGCCCATTAAAGTTAGGATAATATCATACGCGGTTAGTGGGCTTTCCGCTGGGGTCTACTGGAGAAACTGTTTGTGATGCATAGTATCACGAAGCTCCACGGCACCGGGTCTTACCTACAAAAACCTGCTCAAATTTCCCGAACATTCATACAATTTTGCCATCCCATTGCTGAAGCTTATCTAAATTCAAATACTCTCTAGCGGGAAATCAGTCCCCCCCCCCTCAAGTAGGCGGACCTTCTTTCCTTCCGGTGGTCTCAGGTCAGGGAGATATCCGCTAACCGCCACAAATCATGCTGGTCCCAGGTACTTAGATGTAAAACTCCTGTACGCATGGGCAACTATGTGGGCTACGGTAGACGAAACGGGACATGTAGGGCTTAACTTAGATTTCCCCCAGCGAAATTTCCCTCCTGTTTCACAGCAACTAGCGCCCTTAATCTGCTACCCCCCATCAAGCAATTCCCCATCCGTAGGAGCCGAGCTCACTCACTATGTCTCACTCGTGAGACTAAGTGGGGGATTTGCTATTCTGGTGACTTAGTTCCCGGGGACATGTGAACCGCACAACGGGCTCGGGGAGATCATGTTTGATACACAATTTTCTCTCCCTTTCCTCTTAGACCTGGGGGGGTGCTTTATAAGACATTCGCGAGTGATAGTCAGTGCAACAACCCATTGTTAGCAAGGCGGCTCTGGAAGCCCATCTCGGAAAATAAAAGCTTGGCTAAACCTTATTGTAACCCTTCCGGGTTGTGGCCCCACCAACCCACCAACTCACTGCCCAGAGGGATCAACCAATCAACCGCACGACCCGACCCCCACACCTCATCAATAAAGAGACACAGATGTCATCCCAACCGCGGGAGTACCTAATATACTTTGCCCAAATTCATGAGACGTTCAGAAAAGCAGAGTTGGATTCACTGTCCCAACTTACTGGTGTGGAAATCCAATGGAAGGAGTACTCCGATGATGTGAGCGTTACCCTGGCCTACGAGAAAGAGAAGGAAGTGACTAATAATATCTTTCCCCCCCCGGTTTGCAGTCCCCATTCGCGATAGTCCACCTCTCCAACAACCCCTCCGCAAAAGCCCTTGTCGAGCGCTCAATCCTGGCAAAAGCTGTCTACGAGCTCTGGGGAACAGGTCCGGACTACGACCACCTCCACGCAACCGTCAAATCCCAAACCCCCTACCTCTGGCCTTCATGCATGTCGCGCTCCTTCAAATTCGAAATAGAATGTTATAACGGGAAGCGCAAACAATCCGCACAGCGGGAGATAATTGAAAGCTTCGCCTATCTCGGCCTTGACGGGGAGATCAAGATGAAGGGTCCAGAGATAACCTTCACCGTTCTGGAGGAATTCCCGGAGAAATTGGCGACGCCCACGCGCGTATTCTTTGGGCGGAGGGTGGGTGGCGGGAGCAGAGCGCTTGTTGAGAAATACGATTTGAAGAAAAGGCATTACATCGGTACTACTTCTATGGACGCGGAATTGGCGCTAGTGACGGCAAATATAGCCCTTGTCGCGCCTGGGAAGATCGTCTTCGACCCGTTCGTTGGGACGGGGTCGTTTGTGGTTTCGTGTGCGCACTTCGGCGGGTCGTGTCTAGGGTCTGATATCGACGGGCGGCAGATTAGGGGGAAGGATGGAAGGAGCGTGCTGAGTAATTTTCAGCAGTATGGGCTTGTGGGGAATTATTTGGATGGGTTCGTCTCGGATCTTACGAACACGCCTATACGCCAGACCGCGTTTATCGATGCGATTGTGTGTGATCCACCCTATGGCGTGCGCGAGGGGTTGAAGGTTCTTGGTAGTCGAGATCCGGAGAAAGGGAAGGAACCAGTTATCCGGGGTGGGGTTTTGAGGCACTTGTATGTCCCTAGTGACCTATATCATTACTGCTTTGGGTGCTGATCACGGACTATAGGCAGGACGACTACGTCCCACCCAAGCGACCTTACAGCTTCCTTGCTATGCTGGACGACATCATGCAGTTCGCCGCGGACCACTTAGTCCCGGGCGGAAGGCTGTGCTTCTGGATGCCCACTGCCAACGAAGATTTCTCGCAATTGGACATCCCTAGTCATCCACACCTGCAACTGGTATCCGTTTGCGTGCAGGAGTTTAATAAATGTACCTCCCCTCAATATAATTCCCCCCATCACGAGCTAACACTCAAACAAGGGTCGAGAAGACTGATAACCTACTCGCGGATACAAGGCGATGCACAAGCTCTGCCCACACGGGAACGGGGGGAGAGAAATGGAGGAAAAAAGGCGACGGCTGATGAACTAAATTCATTTCGGAAAAAGGTGAGTTGGTAAACTCCTGTGTGGGAATCAAGACTAGACTAACAGCTTTTCCCCCGCGATAGTACTTTGAAGGGTTCCGATCTAGTGGAACGCAGAATTAGACTCGCTCTAATGTTTAACTTAGAATTCTTTTGTGGACATCCGGTAGAAACCAAAGGCGCACTGTGCACTCTTTCTCTCATTCGGATGGGGCGTTTTGGTCGTTTTTTATCTGACCTAGCTGATTCGTGCACTGTATCCGGAGGTTGGTCGGGGCATCACGCGGCGCCCACACGGCGCATCCATTGACGATCACTCGGCCCTCACGTGACAGAATCGTTGAGTTCGGCCGGCCGGCCGGCCGGTGGCAGAAAGGTGGTGGGACCTATGAAACCTAAATTTAAAGTTTGTGCACAGTGCCTTGGACGGGGTCACCATAAGTCAGGAGATTCAGGAATCCAATTATGTAAAATATGATATCACACCGAAACCTTAAAAATGAAAACACCCGATCCAAAAGATCTAATCGGATTTGCTGCATCTTCGCTCTGTCCCCACTGGTATCCATCCCCTATGGCAAGGATTCTTTCTACTGTTCTCTAATAAAAAACCGCACGCCACCTGAACTATGCAACGAGACTGCCGCACTACGCCCATAACTTAACATATCCCCTCTCTCCGGTTCCCTGATAGGCATATATACTGATCCTCAAGATCCACGGGACCTCTTCAATTGGCGGTTATCATACCTGTGATATGATGAAGTCTAAGGGTTTGAGGGGTGTAGGGCGTTCAGAGCACTAAGATAACAAACAGGTGGTTCGCTAGGGCTTACTTTTTTTTTTAAAAAAAAAATCAAAAAAATCCTGCTACATCCACAACAAAGGTGGGGGAGTTGAGCTCACCCCCAACCTCCGGTTAGAATCATATTACGACCGGACCTTTAGCCACTTGACTATCAGGCTCAGCCGATCGTATGATACCTTCTTCAAATATTTGACAGCGCGGTCAGCAATCACTATATCATAGCCCCTCTCACCTCATTCCATCAAGTCAACATTTAAGGTCTTTATATCTCTCCCAAATCTGTATCCGATGGATCAAAAAAGTAAAAAAGTAAAAATAAAATAAAAAAACAACTGTGCAAATATCATACCTAGTGGTATAGTCAATAAGTTACCACAGCCATATCATACAACCACAAGTACACATTCGGAATCTGTCAGCTGGAGTGGAGTATATGACGGCCGTCCACCTCCGTGACGAAAATCCAAGATTTACAAAGGCTGAACATAAAATGTACCAACGGTATCATTAATCTCGTATATGAGCATAGCTGCTATCGGTACCGGCAAAGGATACATTCTCGTTCGATACGGTGGTTAGAAGGTGCAGAACTCATCTCCAGCCAAAAATCGCCAGAAGGCCTCACCAACGGTACTGTACCAACGTGTGACACGGCTGGCGGGCATGTGAAACCTCGGAAGGGTAGGAAGTACAAGTAGAGCCAGGAAACGGTTCCTTCCCGATCATCACCTGTTTGGCTCGCCTCACACACCATTGCGCGATTCGTGAAAGGGATGTGCAATGGTATTCGCTAACCGCTCACTCAGGGCGTTCATTATGGCACTAGTATGGTAAGTAAGGTGGGTTGTATATGGACAGACCCTGTGCCGCGTCAAGCGCTTCGTCAGGTGTCCGAGTGCTTCACCCTAATAGCACTTCCCTCATTGTCCCCACTCGCCGAAATAAAAAAAGTCTGTCCCCGACCTTTAACCTACGGTAGGCGCGAACCGACCGAACCACACCTTGCTTGAAAAAAACCGAGGCTCACCCCTCGTAACCTCTCAACATCACCAGCGACTCCGTGCTCTCGGGATATTTGATTTATGAGTAATAGCTATCAACACAATTCTCTCGTTGTCGGGGCTGCCAGAGGGGAGTAGTTGCTGTGTTGCCACTGGCGGCTATACCTCGGGGATAGACTTTTGATCTTGGCGAGTACTGGACTGTGCCTATACCGCATAGTGTACTAATACCGGTACTTCAGTTCAGCGCCCCTAGTTACATAAACCTTCCACACTGATAGAAATAGAAATAGGTAGATAGGTAGAAAGCTAAGCAATTACGCTTTCCCTAAACTTACCTCAACAACACTCTATACAACAGCCAAACCGACCTAACCGAAAACATAGTTTTTTTATAGCCAACCCCCATTGTACTGCGATATATATATATAAATCCCTTACAAATATCCAACCTCCAACTCGACAACCCTCTTCAAATCCCCTCTAATCCCCTGAACTTCACAACCAGCCTTTGCAGAAACCTCTCCCTTCCTGCCCTCGGCGAGCCCAATCCATCGAGAGACCAGCCCACCATCCAATACCCCCCTCATAGTATCCCCACCCACGCCCCCCCCACTACCACCCCATCCTCCTCCTCCAGCCCCTCCGCCGCCACCGCCACTATAATTAACGACAGCCCGGTACTCCCTAGGGTTCAGTCCCGCAACGTGTTCCTCGCCATTGACAATCTGCCCCTGTACGATGTTGAGTCTGCGGTAGGTAGTTTCTGGGATCGTGCGGATCATGGTGAGGCTGCCAGTTTGGGTACCGGCTAGGACAAAGTATTCTTGTTGTTGCTGCTGGTTTTGCGGGTTGTAGTGGTGGTGTGATGGGGAGGTGTCTGTTGCGTCTGGGTGGGGGTGAGAGTTGGGGGGTGCAGAGGACAAATATGGGGAGAGGGGGAGCATGGTTAGCGTGGAGATTTCGTGGCCTGAGAAGAAATCTGCTCGGCGGATCAGGCGTTGGCCGGCAAGGGATTTAGGATCTGCCGTAAGTTAGCTTGGGAATGGGAATGGGAGTGGAAGAAGTACGCTCGGGATCGTATTGTAATATATGAATATTCGATTCTGCGTCCACGACCACAAAATACAATTGGTTACCGTCCGGTAGGAACTCTGCTGAAATGACTTCGAGTTTTTGTGTATCTTTTCCGAAGAGAGTCATTTTGTAAGGCTCTTCCTACTCCCCATAATTAGTCATCCTTCAACATACGCCCCAACCTGGCCCTCTTCAAGATAGAAAGTAAACGCACAGAAAATCCCGCGAACCAAACACTCTTCATAAAGTCCCCAAAGAGGATCATCCCGTCCAGATTCTTAGCAACGGAGACATAAAGGCACATATCTAGGAAGGCCACAGGTAGCAAGCTCTGATCCTCTTTCAAACCCCTAACCATGATTTTCTGCCCCTGAGCAGCGAGCAAATACCCGTTCACGCCGCATATGGCGCTGACAGTGCCCTTAACTTCCTCCCTTGTAACGAGCTTCAGTTTCCGGTTGGTTTCAGGACGGTTAGGTTCCGGGACGACTTCGATTACCTCAAAGACATAGATGCCACCGCGGGCAGAGTGGTCTTCGCCGCGGAAGATGGCAGTGCCGACGGATACTAGTTGCTTGCGCTCCTTAGTGTGCTCTGAGACTTCTAAGGAGATGGTCTTCACAACGAGGGCAATCTCATTGTGGGCGAATTTGTACTCGTCTACTGCTGTCCAGGTTTGGGGGGAGAGTAGCTTTAAGGTTCCAGAATCTATTTCTGGTTGGAGGGTTGTATCTAGGTTTTGACTTAGCATATTGAAATAAAGTAGGGGGAGGAGGGAGGAATACCGTCTTTCGCAATATTACCATCTTCCTCCGCGAGATCAAATGGCTGGCGTTTGCTCGTGGAAATAACATACACGTTCATTGGTGGGAAGTATGCCAGACTCTGAACATGCTCGCCGATTGTTACCTTTCTGTACCCCCAGTTCCCATCAAACGTGAACTCGGCGGGCATCAACGCTACCCTTACTATACCCTACGCCCCGAAAAGGTCAGCCTTAAAGTCCGGGTAGGAGGGAAGGGAGTGTTTATACCAAACTATCAACATACACAAACCCTCTATCCGCGCCAGCAGAATGAAATGAAGATAAACTCCGAACTCCACTCCCCGCAAGCTTGTGTATCCGCGGATTTGACTTCGCGGTCTTGATAACAAAGCTTGGATCAGCTCCCGGAAGGAACACAGCAGAGTACCCCGCGATGTTACAGACTGCTGTCAGCGGTCTGAACATATTCTTAGTTCCCGCGCCTAAATTTGGTTCGTTTGATGCTAGATGTGGATTGGGAGATTTTATGAAGCGCAGGGTTGAAGATGAGGGGGTGATGAAGGGTTTATAGAAGGTTAGGTCATTGTCCGAGCTTCGAGCGATCAGGTATGGTTCTTTGAATACCGAATCACCGACGTCTGCTACTAGAATCTCGACTACTAACTGTTTTGATTGGTGCTTTTCGCGATTGGTGGTAGGCGAGGTAAGTTTATCGGCGCGGAGGAGCGGGTATAGGGTGCTAAAGCTTTCGGCGATGAATGAAGGTGTGGCGAGATTTGACAGGTCATATATCTGGTAATATTAGCCTTGGAGTCGATAGGGAGTAGAGCGAGACTGATATACCCGTAAACCGCCCTCAATAGTGAGAAGGAATAATAAATAATCCTTCTTCAGATTCTCAACAGGGGCATCCAATGGTATAAAGGTGCCCTTAGCAGAAGCATATATGCAACCCGATTGGTATTTATTAAACTGTTCCAATTAGCTCCAGCGGAGTGTGGCGGAAGGATGTCTCTCATACTTTAATTGCATCGGCCCTTTCCTCCGCCAACTCTAAGTTCGTCGAATCCATCCTATACACTGCCGCGCTTCCATCCACTTTTATCAATAGAACATAGGGATCACACACCCTCGCCCTATGAACATTAGGCCCTTCTTCCCCGGTCTCTTCATCAAACATAGGAATAATCTGCGAAAGTTGTAGGTCTACCACAAGGTCGCAATCAGCCATTAATCACTTATCATCCCAATATCAAAAGGAAAAAAAAAAAGGCAGCCAGTCTCCCAAAGGATAGACTAACATAGCGCGGGGATTATTATGCGTGAGATGAGAGTTAATGAGGATTATATTTCTAACAAAAACTAGAGAAAACCAACCACAATCATAAACTCTAACTTGCTCAGAAACAACCTGAACGATCCTCATTCCGTTGCCTACAACCCCTACTTCAATGGTTTCACCCTCACTCTCAAAGTCCGTTCCACGGACCTCCTCGAATGTATCACCAACACGGAAAACCTGCGATTCGTCATTCTTAGTAACGAAGAGGAATCGGTCAAACGTCTCTTCCACGCTACGGTCATCTTCCTCGCCTCCGAGCCCTACTGCTGCATTAGATGTTTTTGCTGAGCGAGCACGGACGGTCCACAGCGCTTGGCATTGGGGAAAGTCAAAACGCCCAACTATTGTGGGTAGGATGGACTTTCGAATTATGCTTACTCCAGAGTCCTCCGATGTGTTAGAGGGGCCGGAGGTGGTCACCAGCTCCAATTCCGGGGAGACGCCCTTCTGGCGTTCCCTGGACTCTTCTGGGAAGGTCGGTTTACCAAGCGTTATATCCCGGAACGGACCTAGGTTTGTTAGGCGATCATGAGTTTGAAAAATGTATTCCCCTTGAGATTTCGTCTCGCCGTTCCTCCGGCCGTTAGCGAGAGAGTCTTTACGGAAGCTTGCGTCTCCAGCGCCCCCGTATAGGTCATCGTCCATATCTTCCAAAGCTCCATAAACGTCATCCTCGTCCTCGTTTTCTAGGACTTCTTCCTTAATACCCTCCCCTGCTTTTTTTCTTTCGCCCTTTCGCCTCCATTTGAGCACTCGGGCGTCGCCCTCGATACAGCCAATAAAAAGCCTCCTCCCACCAAGTCCAGCGGCGGTGCTAACTCTCCCGCCAACCATTGATCCGGGGTGATTATTTAATTTGGTAATCTTAACACCACTAACATTCCGACCATCCATCTTGAACCCCACAATAACTCCTTCACCCCGTTTTGTAAAGAGCAGCATATCACCGCCTTCGCCTTCCAACTCAACAACTTGGCTTCCCTCCAACTCTAAGCACAAGTCGCTTTGATCAGCCAGTCCTGCAAAACCGGTACTCCGCCTACAAAACGGATTGACTGCAACGCCGGTGGTCTTCCCGGCCTGATCCACGTGAATAAGTTCGTTCCCACCAAGCAGCAAACTGCCACCAATTGGGGGCGCCAGTGGAACGACCTTGAATATATCGTACGGTAAACCTGACACACTCAAAATAGGCGTCGAAGCTTTCTGTTCAAGATCAAGTGTAATAACAATATAAGAAATAGTATCCTTCCTCCCCTCTGCAGCGAGTAAACCTGTCCAGGTTCTTCTCAGGGAATATAATATCCCAAATGTAGGTTCCCGGTACTCATGCAAGAATGTGAGTGAGATGACATGTGAAATTGCGTCGTCAAGTTGGGATACTGAGAGGACAAAGCTAGGGTGATATGGCCTATCGTTTCCTTCGGTAGCGTCAGTTGTCTTAACGTCGCCCTCGCCCATGATAGTGTCCTCCCCGCGCGCAGTACCCGCCATCTCGGGATCCCAATCATCATTATCGCCATCATCACCCATAATCTCATCACCATCCCCATGACCAAGCGAAAGTTCTTCATCCTCCCGCTGCCGGAAGGGTATGATGGCAAGCATATCCCCAGCAAATCTCAAAACAGCGCACCGACTTCCCGGATCCGCCACCAGTTCCGTTGGCAATCCATCAGGTACCACAGGTGAACAAAACTCCTCCCTCTCGTAAAAATGCAAACTAATCGTAGTAATCGAATTCGTCTCGGGGTCCCATTCCATCAGTGAGCATTTGGCATCCTTAAACGACGCCAGCACCGCTTCGCCCCCTGAGCGGGTAGACAACAATTTTATCCTCTGTAGACCAGTCACAGATCCAGAAAGCGGGTACTCTGCTACCAACACTAATTTCGTGACTGACTCTACTTGCGAGCGTTGTAGGGCAATGTCCGCTGCAAAAGTTTGCTCCTCGTCCGCATCGAGGGTTCTTCGGTCGACGTCGCCAGGTTGCTTTGCATTTGCTGAGGCAGAGTTGAGTTCGGTTTCGTATGTGGTGGTAGTGAATATTTGGAGGAGGGAGGTTTTGGCGACAAGGACATTTTCAGAGGTTGCAGAGGTGAAGGGGAGCTTGAGAGAGAAAGACACGGAGGTTGGTGCTGTTAGCTCTGTGTATACTTCCGGCATCGTGAAAATTTCACTGAAAGAAAAAGGGGGGGATTATTATGAGCGTGTAGCAGAGACGGTTGCTTTTGACATTGCTTTGGGTGGTACTTTAGATATGTTCAATTGGAGGTAATTGCTGTCGGCCGTCGCGGTTAGGAATGGGGAGGGTCGTGTTAGGTGGGCTGGGAGTTGTCACCTAATTCCTCGTTTTACCCAACATGCCGTAATTTTCAGCACGGGATTCTTTTTAGTGGTGATCTAGTTGGTGCCAATCCACTTGTCATTCCCCACTTAATTCTTCGCGATTATGCTGCGTATACTGCTACCATACACTATATAGCATTCCGGCTTCCAAGCTCAGTATATCCCTCTAATACCCGAGAAAAGCAGCTCTATAGTTATCTCCTCCAGCACCCACCCCTTCCACCAAAACTAAACCGCTAAACCAATAATAACATGAATATCCGTAGCTGAAGAACATAGAGCAAACAAACACCCCAATTACTAATATATCAAAGGAGAAGCGAGATGTCCCATCACAACCACTTGTGTGTGAATTGACAAATGGAAAGAGAAACACAGCGTATCTAGTTGACAGCGCGCACAAGGAAGCACAGTATCATTCGGCAGAATCTAATAAGGCATCTATGCTTTAAGTTTATCCTGCCGGAAGGTCAGTATTTATGCAGATACACGCGGTGGGATCCTGCGTACGACGAGCTGCTTCTGAACTTGCGAGTACACCCCCTCCCGGGTGGACGATGCGTCGATTCTCACAATTTTACCCTTTTTATCGTAGTAGTCTACGACGGGCATGCTGGTAACCTCAAAGGTATGAAAGCGTTTCTTAATACTCTCAATGTTGTCGTCAATACGTCCACTAGTCTCGCCACGCTTGAGAAGGCGCTGCAGCATAGCATCCTCCGGGCACTCGAAAAAGAGGGTAAACCTAGATTCAGTCACTTCCTCTTCAAACTTAAGGGCCTGGTCCATCTGACGGGGGAAGCCTAAAATCACCCAGATTAAATCAATCCATCGTCCGACCAATTGAAGACGAACCATCAATCAAGAACATAGTCTTCTGCTGGGCCACAATAGCCTCTCTCATAGCGTTCTCGAGGAGGGCAACGGTAACTTCCATAGGGACCTAAAAGAGTTAGTTAGTAACTGTACATCGACTCCCTACTGGCCCCACTGATCAGACCGACAGGAACATACAATCTTTCCCTCGCGGATACACGTCTTGATCAACTCGCCAAACTCTGAGCCTTCACGGTTTTGCTCGGCCCTAAGAAGATCCCCAGCCGATAAATGGACAAACCCGTAGTCTCTCACCAAGTACTGACACTGAGTACCCTTTCCCGCCCCCGGCCCACCTAAACCACCGTCAGCAACCCACAATATCAATCGCTCTCGCCTTGTCACCCTTCTGCGAGAGTAAGGACCCTAAGAACAGACCAAGAACAAAGATAACCGAAACTTCACCCGGACCAAAAGCCGGCTTCTTTACATCCCCGGCTGTCAGCCTAGGCTTCCTCGATGGCTCCTCGATGGCAGGCATCGGCTCTAACATTGTATCAGTCTGCTGACAAATAACGTGGTTATACCAATGATAAACAAACCCTTACGGCTCTGCACAAGAAAGTAGAATCCTCCGCTACCGACAGCAAGGATGACAAGTAGCGGGATGACAGGGAACGGGTTCTTAGAGCCGGCGGTTTCCCCTCCCTTTCCGGGACCTGTCGCGTAATTTCTTGCTGGGACTCTGCGAAATGTAGAAGGAATTGACGAAGACTGAACGTTTCTAGGTTGAAAACGAAGGTGTCGTCTTGTGAGTGCTGCGGGGCAGCTGCGGACAGAGTATTGAAGATTTGAGGCGACCCTGCAGGAGACGGAACGGAAAGCTGAAGACATGGGGTGTGAGGTGGGGTTTTATTCGTCTACTGGGGTTAGGGAACAAGAAAGGGGTGTGGAGGGTGCAAGTGTAACTGGTTGCCTCGTGACGAGAAAGGAGTTGGTGTAACAAAAGTTACCGGTATGTGGGATAGAAAACAAGGAACAAACAATTCGGTGAGGGAGGGGATGAAGATCCCGATGAGAGAAGTTTGGTACAGTAGAGTAAGTTAAAGAAGAAGGAATGAAGATGAAAGGGAGCGACGCCGTTGCCATGTCTCCAGCGAGCTCTGGTCAACGGCTACCGTAATCCTTTCCGAAGCCTGGGTTTTCGTTCTTGGCAATGAACGATCCCTGCATTAAAGCCGCATACGGTGGAGAATCCCGAATCGATAACTGTAGCACATACTGTACGGAGTAATGGCTGGCTCTGCGCAGAGCAAAGACTGCTTAAATTACAAGTAAGATCATAGAAGGAGTTGTAGGTGACGGTACGAGTAGATTTAGGTTATTGGTAAAGTACGAGTAAAGGAAAGGCGTAAGATGCCTAGCAACTGCTCATGCGTGGATACTAGTGGAAAAATATCAAGCCTAATTTGTATTTTATTTTTCCACACAAACCGCCACCACATCCCCACCTTCCCATACCTGTACGAGCCTCGCTCAAAAAGTCATGAGTAGGGTAGCATTTTCCACCAAAACCGAGTAACTTTACATCCAGAAACCCCCACTTTGACTGTTCTCATAAAAAAAATAAAAAAAAATTTTCTTAGAATCATATGGGGTTTGTTCAGAAAAAAAAACCAAGCTCTATCAATAGAATTTGGGAGAGAAATACCAGAATAACTGGGGATGGACAAAAGATACCTTGAATCATACCAATTTTCAGTGAAAAAGGTACAATGCAACACCTCATGAATAAATCTTTAGCTATCAGCACTCGCATGAGGGTGACAAAAATCACACAATTTTTACTGAAACAGGTCAAGCAATTGGAAAACACATAGTCCTAGTTTGATTAATTCTATCATCTTTTTGGGCAAGTTAATTGCCCTTAAAGTGGTGCAATTTTGGTGCAAAATGGCAACCTACTCATGACTTTTTGAGCAAGGATCGTACTTTCGGGCACCAATGCCCCAGGACTAAGTTCCGGCTACCGCATTCAACTAAAGATATAAAATAGTACAAACTTCATAGATACTCCATTTAACCATTCCCAATTAATCTATTCTTTTTGGCCCAAGTCCACAATCCATAACATTAGTCTGTTTGGGTAGCCATGAGCTCACCTACTACTATAGCCCTACTTTTAGTTCTTTCTGTCACAGTCATGATGAGCAGTGCATAATGTGAGGTATGCTCAGCACTACAACTTCAGAGGCTTACTGTATTTTTTTCCATCCTGATTCCCATGACAGGATAGTGATTTGAATTGGAATCTGGACCAGAAAGTCATATGTTTCAGGAATACTGTAATCAAGAACAAGATCCCTTGTACAGTACCGGAACTACATTTTCCCACTTTCACTATAAAAGTATCGTCTTCTTGTTGGAGCATTCGCTTTTAACATTCGATGCGTCTTAGTCGAAATTCCGAATCTCTCACACATTATATGTGTGAAATGTCGCGATTGATTCGAGGCACAGTTAGTTTGCATTCTACTAGTTCTACCAGAATTAGATCTGACCAAGCTGTCCTAAATTTGTCATCCCCTGTCCCAACTTTCGTGTATATAATATCAAGTGTGTAAGGAACCCGGGGCCGGGTTCGCGGGCATCCAATCACTCAGAATTGATAACTCCACTGACCCTCCGGATACTAGGAGAATACCGCCAAGTCTATCTAGTCCCGACATCTGCCATGCACGGCATTTGCCTACTGGGCCCCGGAGCTAACCCTACTGGCGTCTTCCCATTGTCGATTTGTTCATCTGAACTACAAGACATCGTGGCAGAGTGGTTGAGACGAGAGATCGGGGATACCCTAGCCCCGGGTGCGCAAGTTCAAATCTTGTCGATGTCGATAAGCTCTCGTTTCCGGGTTGTTCACTTACGAGGTGAAGCCTGTCCCTTATTTTCGTCAAATAATGGAGCTGGTTGGTTCGAGGTTTGGATATCGAGTGTCTAAACCTTTCATCAGATTGAAAATTTGCCAAACGGACGCCTTATCATAATGCTTACAGTATATATCCATTCCACAGGGCTGAGAGGTTCAAAGTAGGTGTCCCCATTCCGGCCTCCTTGAGTATTCTACGACTATAATTCGCTTTGGCGCAAGGATACAAACATAAGATGAGACCCAGGAGCATATTTATCGTAAGGTGAGAATCATACCGAAATCCCTGTGGCTTTTGCCAATTCCGAAATTCACATGAGCTTCGACCCGACACCATTAAATTTTTCTATCAATTTAATACGAAAATAACTTTGCAAGTGATGGTTAATGGTTACATGTGCGGCAAACCCCTAAGCGAACAAGAACCCCCATTTTAATTTTCATACTGAGTATGACTCGGACCACAACACCACCCGGAAATCTAGCCCTCAACCTGCAGGGCGTTCCCCCCTCCGTTCATTGCTGATTGCACCGCACTATCACCACCCTGAGTGACAACCTGTTCTCTGGCGCCTCTGACAACCTCCAGGATGTTTCTCAAACTGGCTTTCCAGTTGTCCAATCTGACACCAACTTCCTCCCACTCAGACTTCCCAAAAGACCTATAAGTGGAGCGGTGAATGAGAAATGTTTGGTTGAGCTGCGAGAGTTTGCCTTCTACCAGTCCTGCGCGAATGACATCGATTACCCAAAGCTCTACTTCTTCACTTGGGATGTGCAGACGGCGGGCAATCACAGAGTACGGCAGCTCGCGACTCGAAGCGGTGGAGGCGAGAGAGGCAAGAGTTAAGAGACGGATTTTGCGGAAAGCGACAGAGTGGTCGATTCCTGTTCATGGTCAGAATATGCCCTAAAGAAGAGATGGTGGGGCGAACCATTATCGTCAACCCAGCCATCGTGCTCATCATTAAATTCCTCATAGTCCTCAAGATCACCACCAGCAAATACCTCCAATAGAGCAAAGGCCTCCGGATCAGTGTTAGAAAGTTGTTGAATTGCATCCAGGGAGATAATATCATCGAATTCGAGGCGGCTTGGTAGGTTGACCGATGCTTTCAATAAACGTACAGCAATCGTTCGAGCTTCTTCACCAGTGGATTCCTCGGGGGTAAACCCTTGCAAAGTACGGAAGAGGAAGGAATAGAATTGACTACCATGTGTTAGCTCTGGTTCTGGGGAATGGTTTGAAAAATAACAGGTACGTACTCGGAATCACCAGCCGTCTCAGCCACGCCGGCAAGAGCAATATACAGATCCCTAATCTCGGCGACAGAACTCCCCCATTCTCCCACCCATCGCTCGATATTCTTCAGTTGGGGAGCCAGAACGTCGTACATCCCATGTTCAGTAACAACCTGTAGAGTTGCCTTGAAGACGGGGTATCGTAAAGGGCTACTGGCGGGAAGAACATTGAAGATAGTTGATAAAGCGTGGACCGACAGGGAGGGTCCATTAATCGGTGAGGTGGAGGGGGGTGTGGAGAGGTTTTGCAGAATTGTGGGCAGCAACTCTGGTAGCGCTGTTGACGAGCGAACAAGGTGTATAAGAAGATTATAAGCAGGAATAAATTCTATCTCACATTTAGCAAGATAATTCCCGCGGTATATCACAAGAGACAGAATACTACCTTTCTCTGGTGTAGTAGAAAGAGAGTTGCTGGCATTCACAATCTCACGCAAACAATTATCGAGATCGTAGGCCTCTCCTTCAAGTTGCGATTTTATTTGAGCGACAAGCCCCTGCGATCCCCTCCGTGTTTCGAGATACTGGGCCATCTCGAGCACTTGGTCTAACACCCCACCACCCCCACTATTAGCTTCCATCTCGGGCTTCCAGTTTTGGGGGCAAGGTGAAATAAAATTGGGAGATACCATCGATGGACCCCTCAACCATAAGGGTGTTTATAGGCGACTCCATGATTGCTGTCAAAGCTGATAATTTGGGCCGTTGGCAAACAAAAGGGATTTTTTTTTCAGCAGACGTTGTTGTTTTTCACTTGTGTGCTCGCCAAGACTAGGTTTCAGTGTTGAAAGGAAACGTAGGGCAAATACCGGTACAAAGTGTCTACTACTGCCCCTCCCTTCAATCCTAATCCTCATCTTATCCTATATCAACCCTAGCTGCCCCAATTGAAGTACAAATATCCTAATAATAACCCATCAAGAGCCGGCAAATCCCTAGTATGCATTCTGTTAAATCACCCCTGATAATACTGTTATTGAGAAAGCTTGAAGAGCAGAGGTCACATGACTAGGGCTCCTAACCCTCCCAACCGTCACTTCTGACAACGCACACAATTCCTCCAACCCCCTGCCAAAATTTGAGCGCACGAGTTTTCAATCTGACATTACTTACGCGCTCAACGATCGAACAGCCGCTCGCCCAGAAATCGAATCAAGCACCTTTTTAACATCGTAAGGAATCTCACCCGAACTACAGCTTTTGGCGTGAAATTAAATTTTTGGTGGATATCCCGATTTAGTAGCGTCAGTCCGGAATCATGGTCAAGAAGAGAGCTTCGAAGTACGTCTTGTCCATTCCTGTTCCTACGGAGCCAATGTGGCAGGGCCCTAGCAATTCGGGACGGTTCATGTCTGCGGGGGGTCAGCCGGGTGAGATGACGTTAAGAAGGGAGATACTGATGGAGGATTTCTTCGAATAGCGGCCGCAACAAGAAGGGACGCGGACATGTCAAGCCCATCCGTTGCTCAAACTGCTCTCGATGCACTCCCAAGGATAAGGCTATCAAGAGATTCACCATCCGTAATATGGTCGAGTCTGCCGCCATCCGTACTCCCCCTTCTGTACTGTCTGCTTAGATTGGGTGGCTAACCGTTGGGTGTTTAGGTGACATTTCCGATGCCTCCGTCTTCACCGAGTACACTATCCCTAAGATGTACCTAAAGCTCCAATACTGCGTTTCTTGCGCCATCCACGGAAAGATCGTTCGGTGTGTTCTATGACATACCTTGCAGCAAATGCGTGAGGCACAACTAACACAACTTCACAGTGTTCGTTCCCGAGAAGGTCGCCGCAACCGTGCCCCCCCTCCACGTATCAGGTACAATAAGGATGGGAAGAAGATCAACCCTAACCAGGCTGCTGCTAAGACTCCTACCGCTTAAATCTAGAGTTTTTTTCAGGGAGTTTTGCGACTTGGGAAAGGGGGGATAGTATAAGGGGGCTCTTTCATGGTAATCAAGGGGTTTCACTAATCATGAAATAAAAGCACGCTTTTTTTTTGTCCGAAATGTGATATTTGAAATTGGTGTTTTCTTAACACGGGTGACGATGAGAACTATTCAATAATGCGACACAATTTTTCAGGGGATGGAATGCACCGTTCGATATCCAAGGGATTCGGGGCCCCCCTTGCATTTGACATTTGAGGAATTCGCTCTACCCGCTTCTCTACTTATGATAGCGGATATCCATTGGTACCGGATTCTCCGACCTCGCCATGCGCAATACTACAGACACTTGATGACTTTCAGCTACTCAAAACAACACAACCACTCAATGAATCATCCGTAGTCTATGTCACTACTAGGAACGCAGAGTTCCTACGCTCTATGGTATAGTACCATATTCCTACACCCCGCATCTCGAGCATCCTACACTCGTAGTTGCTTCCTAATTTGTGACACTAGTACTCTCCGTTACAATACTCGAGTACAGTATATCCTAGCATAGGCTCCTCGAGACCTGGAAGAATTTAGTAATTTTATCTTTTTTAGTTTTGAGACTTCTCAGTACAGTATATATATATTCATACAAAAACCCCGATCTCAGCAGATGCCCTTAGCTCTTGAAGAAAGCACTTGAGACCAACCGCTGTGGGCAAGCAGAGTGATTCAGGAAACTCATTTGCTCGGCAGGCCTGGAGTACGGGTAGAGCGTTTTTTATTTTTTATTTATAGTATTTTCACTAAGGCCCGTGGAGCTCTATTGGTCCGAAAGCCCCAAGCTCTGGTGTGACCCTATCTCTGTCTCAACCAAACCTAGGGCGCTGCGTCCAAGGGCAGGTGATTGGTCGTGGGAAATGAAAAGTAATCTCGGGCCCCCGGGTGCCTAGCCCTTGGAACACATTTGGAGGAATTACTAGTCCACATTGCTATGGGCCTAATATTCCCCATGCTCTCCCGTCCGGAATACTGGTGAGCCCATTGACAGAAATACCTATCTCCACCGCAGCATCCCTGTGAGTAGTCTTCCCGTCGAGCAGCCTACTCAAAATAAGACTGCCTTGAGTTCATCTCACTCCCCGGAAGCGACTGGGAAACCCGCATATGTCCCAGCCAAATCCTAAGCACCAGTATTGATAATATCGCTCCTCGGGAAAAAAAATTAATGTTTAATGGAAGTTTTCTTCTGATCGCGGAAGATCCTACACTTCCACAACACTCATCTGTAGTTAAGCGCTTTTTCAAGTTTATCCCTATGGAAATTTGACAAAATATTCTATTTACTGAGGGCGCCGAAAAGACGGCCATGTTCTCGGACAGGTGTTGATTTAAGTGGACTAAACTCAACTGGGATCCCTCGGTGCTTTAAACGGCAGGAGGCGTCAACGGTCCCAGAGGTCCAAGAATCCAAGTCATTCCATAGAAACGGGATTCCGGGGGACCCAGTGATGCATTGTTCCACCGCATATCATAACCGGCCAACTTATGAGTTGCGGTGTCGAAGCTGCCCTTGTTCACCGTTACGAGAGTTGATATTCAGCTTTGGGTATGTGATACCCATCCACCGGATACAAGGGCATGGTTCAAGGGTATCGAAGAAAATGTGGCTATATTTAAAGTGTGGAAGATGAGGAGAAACCGAAGAAGGAAGAAAGAAACTGTGGGGTTTTCCACCCAGTTCATCCCGAGTCAACTCCTCTATGTTAAGAGGAAGATATTCCTGTCCAATATAGCGCAAACTCCTCCCCTATTATAGCACTACTTCCCAACCGCTTCCATAAGGTATCATACAAGGCTAACACCCCGGCGCAGGTTGAAAAATCAAGGAACCTGTTAGGGGATTGTGCTTCTTGACGGCGGTTGCTGAAACATCCTACCTATGGGGTATCATACCTGTAAGATTACCGGTAAGCGGGAAAATACTTCCCGGAATGCATAACCAGCTCTTGTGGCGAATTCATTCCCAGGGACCCACATATGATGGCATGACAAGGAATAGACATACGTACCGAAGGGCTACAGGGCTACAAGTTGCCTAACCAATTACTCCATTCCAACGGTGCCTCGGTCGACCCTCTCCTATCATTGGGTTCACAACTAGTCACTCGGCAAAGCCTGGCTGCCTCGGTAAATCAGCCGAGTAGGGAGGCGGTGGCTAGAGAGACACTGTATTAATGCACGTAAGCAATCTAGGGTGGGTGTGCTCTACTACCAATCATATTATAGCTTTTTTTTTCTTTTGCCCGAGTTGACGGGGAGCCTCGTGGGACCTTCGTTCCGTGTTTTTTGATAGGGGCTAGGTTAAACTGCACTTAAACAACGTCTACCGGTACTGCGATAAATAGCAGGATTCGGGGGATTCGAATACCGCAGTACCTTCCCACCACACCACCACGAGGCAAGCTATGATGCATGCGAGGGTTATTCCTTTTCGCACATTTCCATAAGAGCACTCCAGTCTTTCCTGCACTACAGAGTGTAACTTAGCTAGGATATGTGACTAATTTCACACTTTTCTTGCCTCGCGACTATGGGCAATGCATGCTACATGCTTCTGCATAGGTAGGAGATGTGATATGGCATACAGACTTGTGAATTCTGCAGACAGACATGGATTCCAGAAGACGGGATGCCTGGGTTACGTGGTGCGAGGCCCCTGGGCCTTCGGGTGGACGCCGCCTCGAGTATTCTATCTTGAGGAACGGTTTCAAAAGAAACCCCGGCCGTTCTTCTCTCCTCAAAATCTGTTTCCGCCAATTCCGGGAAGGTTCGGAGTATTGCAGACCAACCTAGACCATTCCTCGCCACCGATCACCGCCGATAAGTTGGGCTTCACAAAATTCACTTCAGAAGTGTAACTTCCCCCACTAAGATACAGCATTAGTACCCTAGGAGCCAATGGGCATCATAGAAGGCAATCGGTCGCACTGGAAATGAGAATGAACAAGGCAGAAAACGACACTCAATGTAATTCAAAAGCTATAACTCGAGAGTTCATTTCAATAAATGCCTCACCGCTCCAAACCGTTTATAAACTAGAGAAATGGTGCCCGCAGCGCTAGCGGGGCTTCGTGGCAATCCGCCACCCGCGTACAAACAAGGCTTGAAATGATAATGCATTAGGGCTCGGATTTGGGATGTTCGCGGGCCCCTGAGCACCTGACTCCCGGGTTGTAACGAACTGCTGGAACGAACAATGTTGCTGCCGGGAGGTCTTGTGGCCACGATCCCGTCGATCGCCAATCCCGGTCTCCACGGTTGAAACATGCGAGCCCTCCTGCTGGTGCACCTGCCGACAAACTTCTTCACCGAAGTGTAATTCTTCGCTTCAACGATTGTGCATTTCTCCTGTCATCCGTTCGCCCTAGGGCTCACCTGATTTCCCCCACGAACCCAGAAGTATCAGGCGAAAAATCATGGAAAAGGCTGCACATCGAATGTGTAGTCTATTGTCCCATCTTTCCACCTTCTGGTCCAATATACTCGGAATTATCAACCGTCGGTTCGCAGAGCACCACGCGTTACACCCGGGCTCATATGAACGATGGGAAACCGAACGGTAGATTTGTTGGGCTATCTCCCAGGCTAGCTTACACACAACTCCGGCGGGAATATGGGCAAACTCAAATTTCAATATCACGACCAAGCCCGATCACGCCTCATCACTCGTTAATAGTTATGAGCCATTGGCGAGATTGATTAGTAATTAGTGGCGGGCAAAATCGTCTCCCGGAGTCAGCCGGTCCTGGGATGTTGAATATTTTTCCCTGCTACCAGTGCTATAGAAGTATAGAAGTCTGGTAAAAAAAACAGAAATCCTCTAGGATTAGGCGTAGGCTGTTTTCGTGATCAGGTGGCTGCTACCCGACAACTACCAAAAACAAGGGGGTGGGGGGGGTAGACCACTCGTCGCGACGAGCTGTGCCTTGCAACCCCCCCTTCCCTGAGAGTTGGCCAGAATTGCGCTTTTTTCTCGGAGGATTCCACCCTTCCCCCCCCACTCTCGGATACGAAGTTCCTCGACCTTTCACACGACCCATTTTTGTTCTAGGTGGAGAGCCTCAATTTGGTGGCCTGTACAAGTGCTATACCCCGGTGTGAATGGTCTATCTCTATAGGGCTGTTCTCACAACTTGGGGAATTTGAGCTCTCATCGTGGGCGAGGCGGCATGGGTGTGGGTCTGCTGGCTCACGGAATCGCGGTATTCGCAGGAGATGAGTATACTATTGGGAATACCCTGACACAAATTTGCAATGTTCTCTCACACAAAGTACAATTCGGAAAACAAAAAGTCTGTCATTATATCTATCCCCGAGCTCATATCTCGGCACGGGAAAAGCAGAGGGAAAGAGAGTCGTAAAAGGAATCTTTGAAAGAGAATCCATAGCCCCCAGGCTCCGAGACGCTTATTAATTGAAGTATGAAGGTACATTAGAAACTAGCTGTTTGAGAGACTGAACTAAGAGGAAATTAAAAAACGAAGGATGAAATGAAAACGTTACTACAGAGGTGGCCTCATTAGGATTGTTTCTTTTTTCTAGCATGTAGGGCTTGTGGGAAGACTCACCGATTAAACTTTAATGTCAATATAATCTGTCATGAGACTGCTGTAGGCCTTTCATAATATCTCTCCCCACAACCCCGCAAATACCAGCCCTCAACTACGGGAACAAAAGCATGTGTAAGTGGATCAATACTTCATGAAGCTGACAGGGAGCACCTACAACGATTCAACCCAAGCCCGAGCATACCCCAGAAAGGTCGTATTATTGCTGAGGGACAATAAGGAGATGAGTAGGTATCCCCGTGGAGTATTAGATGTACGGATAGCATTACCACTGTAGTTAAAAACAAAAAAATTAGTAGGAGACGTGAAACAAGAAAGAGGTAATACCTAGCAGCTTAGAAAATAACCCACCACCACTACCACCACCACCGCCACCACCACCACCACCGCCGCCACCATTCCCCTCCCCTCATTCGAAGTTTGGGGTATGCGCAGTCTCCTCCAGTTCCCCACCTTTCTCCACCGTTGGGGGGGCGACTCC